TGGCGAAACCCTGTCTCTACTAAAAATACAAAAATTAGCCATGCATGATGGTGGGCACCTGTAGTCTCAGCTACTCTGGAGGATGAAGCAGGAGAATCACTGGAACTTGGGAGGCGGAGGCTGCAGTGGGCCGAGATCACACCACTGCACTCCAGCCTGGGCGACAGAGCGAGACTCTTGTCTCAAAAAATGAAAAACAAAAAGGCAAAATTTTGGCTGGGTGTAGTGGCTCATGCCTATAATCTCAGCACTTTGGGAGCCTGGGGTGGGCAGATCACCTCTAAGGTCAGGAATTTGAGACCAGCCTAGTCAACATGGTGAAACCCCATCTCTACTAAAAATACAAAAAAATTAGCCAGGCATAGTGGTGAGTGCCTGTAATCCCAGCTACTCAGGAGGCTGAGGCAGGAGAATCATTTGAACCTGGGAGGTAGAGGTTGCAGTGAGCTGAGATGGTGCCACCGCACTCCAGCTTGGGCAACCGAGTGAGACTCCATCTCAAAAACAAAAACAAAAAAGACAAAATTTTGTCCAACTCAGTAGAGTCACTTGGCATCTACAACTTGGAAATCAGTGGAGTCTACCATTATACCGACATCCCTTCTAATCAATAGAGAGAAAAGGTCATGAAACTTTCCACCCGCTAAATATCCTAATTCTGGTTCTTTAAAACCCATCTTCTCCATAAAGCCCCTAGAAAAAACAGTATGGGTTGTTATTAAATCCGATAACTCTTTTGTCACTTTCATCCTAAAGAAGACAAAGATTTAAAATAACCACACGTTGGCTGGGCGTGGTGGCTCACCCCTGTAATCGCAGCACTTTAAGATGCTGACGCAGGAGAATCACTTGAGCCTAGAAATTTGAGACCAGCCTGGGCAACAAAGATCCCATTTCTACACACAAAAAATAATTAGCCAGGAATGGTGATGGGCACATGTACTCCCAACTACTTGGGAAGCTGAGATAAGAGGATCACTTGAGCTCAGAAGTTCAAGGCTGCAGTGAGCTAGGACTTCACCACCACACTGCAGCCCTATTTCTAAATAAATTAAAATAGCCCAGCATGGTAGCATATGCCTATAATCACAGCTTCTTGAGAAGCTGAGGCACAAGAATTGCTTGAACCCAGGAGGTATAGGCTGCAATGAACTCCAGCCCAGGTAACAGAGCGAGAGTCTATCTCAAAAAAAAAAATCTATAAAAAATAATAATTGCCGGGTGCGGTGGCTCAAGCCTGTAATCCCAGCACTTTGGGAGGCCGAGGCGGGTGGATCACGAGGTCGAGAGTTCGAGACCATCCTGGTCGACATGGTGAAACCCCGTCTCTACTAAAAATACAAAAAATCAGCTAGGCATGGTGGCGTGTGCCTGTAATCCCAGCTACTCAGGAGGCTGAGGCAGGAGAATTGCCTGAACCCAGGAGGCGGAGGTTGCGGTGAGCCCAGATCGCGCCATTGCACTCCAGCCTGGGTAACAAGAGCGAAACTCTGTCTCAAAAAAAAAAAAATAAAAATAAAATAATAATAATAATAACTGGCTGGGCACAGTGGTAATCCCAGATACTCAGGAGGCTGAAGCAGGAGAATCACTTGAACCTAGGAGGCGGAGGTCGCAGTGAGCCAAGATGGTGCTACTGCATTCCAGCCTGGGCAACCAAGCAAGACACCATCTCAAAAAAAAAAAAAATGGTAATTAATTAATACAAATTGAGGCTGCTGCTGCATAAGGCATACAGAGAAAAAAATTAGGAATCTCATAACGATATCAATTATACTTTTCTTTCCCCACCTTTTTTTTTTAATACCAACCAGAGATTGATACTGATCTTTCATCTTTCCTAAATTTCTACAAGGCTGCTCCACCTGTCAGAATAAGAAATACAAAGTACTTACCCACAGTTGTTGACAGCCATAAGATTGGAGACAAGCACAAAGGGATAGGTCAACATACTTGCAAAAAACTGCAAAATGGAAAAAAGGCAGCTGTTATTAGGGTATTCCTAACCTTTATTCTCCTTTCCTTTGCCTTACAGGTCTAATGCCACTGTGGTGAGATACTCTAACACTTGCCTCACTTCCTCAGTACCCTGGAAAGACTTCCATTTTTGAGCCTGGAGATGCTTCTTCTTCTTAACACATCACTGCATCCAACATTTTAACAAAAAGCCAGAAAACTTCTCTGATCCTGAATAGCTAGGATTATAGGCGCATGCCACCATGCCTGGCTATTTTTTTTTTTTTTTTTAACTTCTGTAGAAATGGAGTCTTGTTCAGTTGCCCAGGCTGGTCTCAAACTCTTGACCTCAAGTGATCCTCCTGCCTTCGCCTCCCAAAGTGCTGGGTTTACAGGTGTGAGCCACCATGTCCGGCCTGAACAATATTATTTAATAGGAAAGGCATATTCCCTATGAAAGCTGAGCAGTACCAAACCATATGGGCTGTGAGGCAGGGGCTCTGTCTTACTCTCTATTTTTTTTTCTTTGAGATGGAGTATTGCTCTGTTGCCCAGGATGGAGTGCAGTGGCATGATCTTGACTCACTGCAGCCTTCACCTCCCAGGTTCCAGTGATTCTCCTGCCTCAGCCTCCCGGGTAGCTGGGATTATAGGCACGTGCCACCAAACTTGGCTAACTTTGTTTTTGTAGTAGAGATGGGGTTTCATCATGTTGGCTAGGCTGGTCTTGAGCTCCTGACCTCAGGTGACCCACCCACTTCACCCTCCCAAAGTGCTAGGATTACAGGCGTGAGCCACCACACCTGGCCGAAAACTGAGTTATTCTTACCTTTGACAAATATAACAAATTTGAGGGAGATGTCCCAGTGAGACATCTGGTTATCTTAAAGCAGTGATGACATAGGCCAGATTTCAAAGGAAAACAAAACAAAGCATAACTATTCCTATAAGGTTGAAAGGATTTTAAAAAACTCACTCCTGTGACAGCTTGAGAATAACTCTTCATTTCATTCATGGTAGAAACCTAAAACAGAAAAACAGCCTTAAATTAATTGCCTAAAACCCTACAACAGATCAATATATTCTTTTTTCCTTTTCGTTCTTTCAGACAGGATCTCACTCTGTCACCACCATGCCCAGCTTATTTCAAAGTATTTTTTCTTTTTTTTTGAGATACAGTTTCACTCTTGTCACCTAAGCTGGAGTGCAATGGTGCCATCTCAGCTCACTGCAACCTCCGCCTCCCGGGTTCAAGAGATTCTGCTGCCCCAGTATCCCAAGTAGCTGGGATTATAGACATATGCCACCATGTCCAGCTAATTTTGTATTTTTAGTAAAGACAGGGTTTCTCCATGTTGGTCAGGCTGGTTTCAAACTCCCGACCTCAGGTGAGCCACCTGCCTCGCCCTCCCAAAGTGCTGGGATTACAGGCATGAGCCACTGTGCCCGGCTTCAAAGTATTCTTTAAGAGATATTATCTTTTTTTTTTTTTTTTTTTTTGAGATGGGGTCTCCCTATGTTTGCCCAGGCTAGTCTGAAACTCCTGGGCTCAGGAGATCTTCCTACCTTGATCTCTTAAAGTGCTGAGATTACAGGTGTGAGGCACCATGCCCAGCTAAGAGATGGTGTCTTGCTATGTTGCCTAGGCTGGTTTCAAACTCCTGGTCTCAGGCAATCCTCCCACCTAAGCCTCCTGAGTTAATGGGATTATAGGCTAGAGCTACTGTGCCTGGCTCTCCATGCCTATATAGTCTATCTCTAAATTATCAGTTTGACTGCTTGAAAATTATTATTATCATTTCTTTGAGACAGGATGTGATCTCTTTCTGCCGTCGAGGCTGGAAGTGCAGTGGTGAGATCACAACTCACTGTTATCTCACAGCCTTGATCTCCTGGGCTCAAGCGATCCTCCCACTTCAGCCTCCCAAAGTGTTGGGAATACAGGCATGAATCACCACACCTGGCTAAAATTAATTTTGAGGACAAAACCATAAAACACTGATTGTTAGAATAATAAGGCAGTGGTCAAAATGATCAACCTGACTCAACATTAACAGACAAATTCTTATTATACTAAAAGGCTTTAGGAACGAATGTAAAAGGATTTCAAATAAAAAAGAAAATGAGACTGATAAACTTTTCCCATGTCCTAGAAATATAGTTCCTGGAAAACCATATTTATAGTACAGCTAAGGGAAAATTCACTGCCTTTGTCCACAGCTAGCTTTCTTTTTTTTTTTTTTTTTTTTTTAGACAAAGTTTCACTCTTGTTACCCAGGCTGGAGTGCAATGGCGCCATCTTGGCTCACCGCAACATCCGCCTCCTGGGTTCAGGCAATTCTCCTGCCTCAACCTCCTGAGTAGCTGGGATTACAGGCATGCGCCACCATGCCCAGCTAATTTTTGTATTTTTAGTAGAGACGGGGTTTCACCATGTTGACCAGGATGGTCTTGATCTCTTGACCTTGTGATCCACCGGCCTCGGCCTCCCAAAGTGCTGGGATTACAGGCTTGAGCCACCACGCCTGGCCACAGATAGCTTTCTACCAGATGTGTTGAAGAAAGTCCCTCCCTATATTCAAGAAGTTTACAACATGGATTTAGTTATATATCCTGTGATGTGTTCAATTTTTCACCATGCTATGGAGCTGCCTATGTACAAGAGGCCCCACAAATGCTGACAACTTCTAGATTAATACTGATTCTCAAAGGCTGAGGTTTCTGGAAAGCCCAATATAGGCACCCCCTTAATAGTCCAGATTAGATGAAAATCCCCAGATATACCATAAAGATGTCCTGCTTTCCCAGGTTCTCTAAAGTTTAGGAATCAGTAAAGAAGTGATCTCTTTAAAGCCCTGAACAAACACAGAGCTGAATCTCTTGGGTATACTCTGTCACATCTTAGGGACTTTTAAGGTGACCATTCTATAGTACACAGTATGGGTCATTTCATTAGCATTTGAACATTTGACTGATAATTTTTATAGAATTATTCAGTCTGGCACGTAGCAAACTTGTCATTTTACTTTTTTTTTTAAATTCAGTCTCCATAGCAACTATAAAAAATTATCAATGCCAACTGTATTTTAAGTCGTCATGGTAAGGTATTGGGAAAAGTTTTCAATTAGCAATAATCACGCCTCGGATAAACCTAACTAGCTACAATACTGCCACTGTGCAAAGCTTGTCATCTTACTTTAAAAGCTAATCTAGCTGCCAGATTAAAGCCAAGGCCAGCACATCTCACCAAGGTCAGAACATACCCCACTGTCCAGTGCATAGGTATTGACGAGGTAGGCCAGTGAGTTACACAGCCACAAAGAAAGGATGTCACCTAGAAGGCGAGGAACAAGACCCCTACATGAAGAAACAATAAAAATAAGAACCAAAATATATGATCAGTAAAAAGACAAGCTCTTCAATACAAACACTTCTCAAATAATTAGAGGTCACAAAACATTCTAGGGAAGTAAAAAAGATAATATCAAACACCAGAATCTAGCCCTCATACCTAGCTAATTCTCGTTAACACAGCTGTACTCGAAGCTGATTTCCAATAACTTTTGTTCCTATGTTTAAAATGCAGGTCAGCTATACCCCCAATGGCTCACCTTACTATTCCTAACTGTAAGCAGAGAGGCAAAAGATTTGCGAGGTGCTTTGCAGAAGAGACTTAAATATTGTTTTGCTTTGACTAACTTAAAAAATGGTTTTGTTAAACTATCTGATATTCAAATTTGGCAGAGCAAAAGATGAGAAAAATTACAAAGCAAAAATAGTCCCAAGTACAGATACAGATGAAAGGCATCAAAATCACATTTCTAGGGTCTGGGTGACCTAGGTGAGGCAGCATGGAATAGTGGAAAGAACATTTCCCCAGGGATTGAAGACTGGGGGTGAAATCCCAGCTCCACCACGCATCAGGGATGTACAAGGCAGCAGATGAGACTCTGGGAGCAACACTGAGTTTTAATCTCTAAAGTGATACTAATTATAGCTGCCCTGCCTATCTTCCAGGGTATTTATGATATTCAAAATCTGTATGTGGAGATACCCTAAAAATTAAAAAAAAAAAAAAAAAAAAAAACCATTTAGGTAATGTAAAATTTTTCTTTTTTTTTTTTTTTTTGAGATGGAGTTTCGCTCTTGTTACCCAGGCTGGAGTGCAATGGCACGATCTCGGCTCACCACATCCTCTGCCTCCTGGGCTCAGGCAATTCTCCTGTCTCAGCCTCCTGAGTAGCTGGGATTACAGGCACGCGCCACCATGCCCAGCTAATTTTTTGTATTTTTAGTAGAGACAAGGTTTCACCATGTTGACCAGGATGGTCTCGATCTCTTGACCTCGTGATCCACCCGCCTCGGCCTCCCAAAGTGCTGGGATTACAGGCTTGAGCCACCGCGCCCGGCCTCAAAATTTTTCTTAATAGAAAAATGAGGGTAGTAGTCTAAGTCCTTCCGAAGTAAATTCAAGCCTTGCAAAAACTTACTCTTTTAGGGTAAGGAAAATACAAGTTAAGATGATTTCCCCATTTTTCAAAATTTAATTTTTTCTCATTTTATTATCTGTATAGAATTGGGAGTTTACTATAAGGGTACAAAGTTGGAATTGACTCCTTTGTTAAAAAAAAAAAATTCCTTATTTCAATTTTTTTTTTTTTTTTTGAGACAGAGACTCACTCTGTCACCCAGGTTGGAGAGCAGTGGCTCAATCTCAGCTCACTGCAACGTCCGCCTCCCAGATTCAAGCGATTCTCCTGCCTTAGCCTCCGAGTAGCTGGGATTAGAGGCATGTACTACCACACCCAGCTAATTTTTGTATTTTCAGTAGAGGTGGGATTTTACCAGGTTGACTAAGCTGGTCTTGAACTCCTGACCTCAGGTGATCCGCCCTCCTCGACCTCCCAAAGTGCTGGGATTAAAAGCGTGAGCCACCACGCCCAGCCTCAAATGTTTTAAGTATCTAGAAGCAAAGATTTGGGATCTTTACAAGAGAATTCTGGTCATATGGGGCCTAAATATGCCTTTCTGCAGAGAAAAAAGAAAAAAAATAAGGGGCCTAAATGCAATGTAACATGAGATAAGTTCAGGCAGTACATTTTCCCCAGGGATTGAATAAAGATTCCCTGTCCTCATATTCAGGAAAAATCTCTCACACAGAAATTACATACTAATCAATATTTACTCACGCGAAAAATCCTAGGACGCCCTCTTCCCGATAGATGGTTACCATGGAATCACAAAGTCCACTACATACACAAGAAGGAAGAGTAAAATACATTAAGATTCTTTTGGAGCTATAAACAAAATAATTTGAATTATCACTTTGGACAAGGTCAAATCTACAACCTCCTTCCTCCACACCTTCCTAGCACCCTTTTAGTCTGCAAAGATAGCTAAATTTAGAGATAGAAGTGAAGCTAGTTCATGTCCGAGTCACGGCACTAGAGAAAAAAAAAAAAGAAGTGAAGCTAGTAACTACCTAGGGGTGTAGCGATATGGAGTCCGGGACTCTGCAACTTACTCTGCAATCCTAGGTAGGCTACAAAACCTGCCTGGGCCTATTTTCTCCTATTTTACTGGGTTTTGTGCAGATCAAATGATAGGAGATACGAATTTGTTCTACAAACTGTAAGGCAGGCGTCCCCAAACTTTTTACACAGGGGGCCAGTTCACTGTCCCTCAGATCGTTGGAGGGCCGCCACATACTGTGCTCCTCTCACTGACCACCAATGAAAGAGGTGCCCCTTCCTGAAGTGTGGATAAATGGCCTCAGGGGGCCGCATGCGCAGGCCCGTAGTCTGGGGACGCCTTCGGTAAGGTGTCATAAAAATACAAAGCATCGCGGTGGCTCAAGCCTGTAATCCCAGCACTTTGGGAGGCCAAGGCAGGTGGATCACGAGGCTGAGAGATTGAGACCAACCTGGTCAACATGGTGAAACCCCGTCTCTACTAAAAATATAAAAAATTAGCTGGGCATGGTGGCGTGTGCCTATAATCCCAGCTACTCAGGAGGCTGAGGCAGGAGAATTGCCTGAACCCAGGAGGCGGAGGTTGCGGGGAGCTGAGATCGCGCCATTGCACTCCAGCCTGGGTAACAAGAGCGAAACTCCATCTCAAAAAAAAAAAAAAAAAAAAAAAAAAATACAAAGCAGCATCATTCTAGTACTTTGGCTTCAAAAGATCTCCTTGAGTATATGAAAACAAAAACACTTACCAGTACTTGGATTCTCTGCCAATGAACTGTACCATAGATCTCAGAGTGATCACTGTGGAACATAGAGAAAAGACGTGTAAAACTATATTAAGACCAGATGCGGTGGCTAACGCCTGTAATCCCAGCAGTTTGGGAGGCCAAGGCAGGCGGATCATCTGAGGTCAGGAGTTTGAGACCAGCCTGACCAACATGGTGAAACCCCCGTCTCTACTAAAAATACAAAATTAGCCAGGTGTGGTGGCATGCGCCAGGAATCCCAGCTACTCGCTGAGACAGGAGCACTGCTTGAAGCAGGGAGGCAGAGGTTGCAGTGAGCCGAGATCATGCCATTGTACTCCAGCCTGGGCAACAAGAGCAAAACTCTGTCTCAAAAAAAAAAAAAAGAAAAGAAAAGAAAAGAAAAAACTATGTTAAGATAGATTTTGATAGCCCTGGGAGAAAAAGACTTTCCACCTAAAGACATTTTGCTGTGTGGATAAATTTGATAAAAGCAAAAACAAGCAAGCAAATCAAAACATGCAGGCAAGGCATTTTAGTCAGCTGCCATGTCAACCTATCTAAGGTAGTCAGGAGAGATCCAGTTATAAAAGAAAGGTAAGAAATCAGATTTCAGTTGTCAACTGCAAACGTACCATGGAAGGGATGTGTGATGAGAGTAGCAGCAGAACGAGCGATCATCTCTCGAGTTGTCTAGAAACAATCAACACACACTTCTGAAATCTAAATAAATGACACTCAAATGCCTGTGAGAAGGAAACGTGGGTGGATATCGTGGTATAGGATGAAAAAACGAATGACACAGCCCTCCTGTCCTGGCTGAAGTCAGGAAGAGTAGTTTGAACCGGATGCAACTGATCTCATTCTCATTTTATCATATTTTTCACTCACGGATTTTAATGTTCTAGTATAGTTACTTCTCAAAATTACTCTGCAGACTTCTGTTGTTTTCTCAATTTTGCAGGTAAGAGAAACAATAAGGAAACAGGGAAGGTCCCAACAAATAGTCACTAAGCTAAAATAAAAAAATATGAGGCCTTTATTGATACTTTTTTTTTTTTTTTTTTTGAGACAAGTCTCATTCTGTCACCCAGGCTGGAATGCAGTGGCCCATCTTGGCTCACTGCAACCTCTGCCTCCCAGGTTCGAGCAATTCTCTTGCCTCAGCCTCCTAAGCAGCTGAGATTACAGGCAGGTACCACCACGCCCAGCTAATTTTTGTATTTTTAGTAGACATGGTGTTTCACCATGTTGGTCAGGCTGGTCTCTAATACCTGACCTTATGATCCACTCACCTCGGCCTCCCAAAGTGCTGGGATTACAGGCGTGAGCCACTGCGCCTGGCCTTACTGAAATTATGAAGTTGCTCTCTTATTGGTAAATGATTTTGGAGAGCCTGATATTCATTCTAGACCAATGGCAGGCTTCACTTAGTCTCTACCCACATTTTTGGGAGATAAGAAAAACTTTGTTTTGTGACTACAATCCAGTAACTGTGCGGTATCTTAGAGCTGCTGTGTTTTTCTTAATTTATCTTTCAATTCTATGACTCTGTAAGGAAGTAATGAAAATTAAACTGTAATCCTTGCATTTAGGTTCTGGTATTGTAAATGTGGCAGGTCTATCATTTCCTTTTGCATTTAAACAATATCTTAGTCACAGAGTTTTAAGACGGCCCTCATAACTTAGAGGTAATAACAAGGAAAACAACTTTAAAAAAAAAAAAAGACAGCCCTCACTCCTTCTCTAATGGCAGTCCAGAGAAGATCCTATCGGACAGGATAGGCAAACTAAGGTAAATAACTAATTGCATGTATCCCTGCTTTTAAGCAAACTAATTTTATGAAAATTTACAGAAAATAGAGCCCATTTATCCGGTTTCCAGACCCTTAGAAATGTTTGTTTTTGGAACATTTTATTTTAGACAGCCACATTTCCTAATTGTGACTTCATTAATGACAAGACAATGTG